AGCTAATAATTAAAAAAAATGGACCATCAGGTAAGGAAGGGTACACCTTTGAAGCCAAATAGTAGTAACACAGGGAGGCAAAATACAGCATGCGGCAAGATTTTATGTGACTCACAATGCTTTTCTGTCTAAAACATTAATTGCTAACCGTATCATACTAGGAGGTCTCAAACAAAATTCTGAGTTTTCAGCTTCTCTGCAAAAATTAGAACCTTAGCGAGCGAGCTTACATGGTGACATTAGTGGAGACAGAATGGCAGCTGTGTGCCTGCAGAACTCACGTATGTGTCCATTCACACACTGGCCAGCTTCTCGTGTGACCTTGACCTGCCTTGTTGGCTTTGAGGTTGGACACATGATATAAATAGAGCACATAGCATAAGTTGGGTAATCAGAGAATTGGAAGGAGTCATCAGCTGGACCAAAGCCATTTGTTTGGTTTATTATCTACCACCAACCAGCACGTCCAAAAAGAAAGCCTGATACAGCTCTGGACACTACACACTGAGGAGGGACTGGGAAGCAGAATTAAAGAGTCCTTTCAGGTGCTAAGAGATGGACAAACTCTTGTTAAAAGTTTTGGCTTGGTGCTCCTCGTTTAAGTAGGATGTGATAACAACTTCTACTGGCCACCGTACACATTATAGGATAATAAAATATCTATTTTGTTTATTTTTAAAGTCCTGACATTTATGAGCAGAGGGTACTGAACAATTGGGCTACATCCTAACTTTGACATAAAGAAATATATATAAATCTTTAACATAAAGACTAAACCATATATTTTGGGAGCATCTGGGTGGCTCAGTCGGTTAAGCAGCAGACTTTGGTTCAGGTCATGATCTCATGGTTTGTGGGTTCGAGCCCCACATCGGGCTCTGTGCTGACCACTCAGAGCCTGGAGCCTGCTTCCAATTCTGTGTCTCCCTCTCTCTCTGCCCCTCCCATGTTCATGCTCTTTCTCCCTCAAAAATAAATAAACATTAAAAAAATTAATAAGAAAATAAAGACTAATACATATATTTTAAAGTACCAGATCTTTGTTACATTATTCATATTGGACAGAAAATTGGAAATAAAGAGAAAACTGATCAGTAGAAGAAAGGCGGAATGAATTATGGTACATCAACATTATGAAATATGTAGCATTAAGACAACAGATTGGCAGGACACCAGTTGACTTGGCGGAATTTCCCTGAATAGTAATACTAACTTAAGATTTAACTCATGCTTCCTATTTGCTAGGGACAGTTCTATGGGCTTTCCGTGTGTTGACTCATTTGGTCCTCACAGCCACCCTGTGAGCCCATGCTATTATCTCATCATACAAATGGTGAAATTGAGGCATGGAGAAGTTAAGTAAATCATCCAAGGATAAGCATTTATTTATTTTTTATTTTTTTTAATGTTTTTATTTTAGAGAGAGAGAGTACACGAGATCAAGTGGGGAAGGGCGGGGGGGGGAAGGGAACAGAGGATCCGAAGCAGGCTCCATGCTGAAGGGAGAGTGCAGTGCAGGGCTCCAACAGACAAACCGAGCCATGAGATCATGAGCTGAGCCACAGTCAGATGCTCAGCTGACTGAGCCACTCAAGTGTCCCCAAGGATAAGCAATTAGGATGTGGCAGGACTAAGTTATGAATTCATGTAGTCCAGATAGAGATTTTTAAAAATAACTTTTACCTTATATATCAAAGTACATTATCAATAATAAGTGTAGCTATAGAATATTAATTCATAGCTATTTCAGAATTCTCTGGATTCTTCTGTTTTAGACTCATTATGTTGTCTCAGACCTAAGCAATCACTTAGTCCTCTGGTTTTCAGGCTTGGCCCTCCTCTTGCCCTCTTTAAACCAACTGAGTCTTACTGGTAAGCAGAATGATACTTAGTGCTGGCCGGGAACTACTTTGCCTTCTCTTTTTCCCCGGGGCATAGTGCACACTGTAGATACTGTCTACCTCCCTTACGTTGCAGGCACAGAAATGCATTCCAGAGAAAGCCTAACATTTATTGAGTTGATATTTCCAGGGATGTTATTAGGCCTCACAGGTAGATTTTATTATGCCCATCAAGGAAACTGAGATTTAGAGAGAAATTAGGCCCAATGTCACAGAGAAATTGCTACCAGGGTTGGGTAGAATGCTTGCTGAACCTTCTTACTAACCTAAGATTTGGGAGCTACTGTGGCCTACCAGAGGCTCTTGAGTTGAATGTTACCTTAGCTAGCTCTTGACTTGATTAGGCAGCTGTTGAGAACTTCTAATGTGTAGGGCATTATTTACCACAGATGATAGTGGGGCAGGGCGTCAGAATAGACAGTGAAGGTCTTTTTTGTATTAATCAGCCTGGGCTCCTGTCACAAAACATTGTGGCCTGGGTGCCTCCAGCAATGGGAATCCGGATCAGGGTGCTTTCTGGTGAGAGTGAGCCTCCCTTCCCTTTCTCGTCCCTAATGCCAGGAACTGGACTTGACCGCCCTTAAGTCTTCCTGCCCCTCTATCATTGCTCTTGATCTCTCCTGTGGTTGAAGGCAGTCTTTGGAGTCAAAGCAGTATCTCCTAAATCGCCCAGTGAGTGGTTACGAGTGTTCATGCTCTGACAGTGGTTTCAGGTGTATTCTTTCAGGAGGTGAGACAGCACCGGTTGTTCTTCAGTCACTCACGTTGTTAAGTAATAACAACTCTGAGGTTGCTCAGCTCTGATAAAAGACTCTCTCTACTGCTGTCTCTCTTTCCAGAATTCTTATTTTTGTCCATGTGCTTGCATATGACCATGGAAGGCAGGAGACTTTTTTATAGTCAAGGACTTAAAAGACTGTGGAAGGCAGCCCCATTTTATAGGCACTTGTGTTTCGTTTCTGGGAATTTGTTTCCATCTTTCCTGGTTTTCACTTCCACTGCTTTGAAAACGTTCTGGGATGTGGATTAAGGATGGGGGGTGGGGTAGAATTGGGGAGAGCTTTACAACAGGTAGAGCTAAGAATGGCTTCCCATCAGCAGCCTGTTAAAGACGTATGTTGATTTCTCTGCTGGATACCAGGCCCAGGGCTAACCGGCTACATACCACTTTCTCTGTGGCTCCTCCAGTGATGGTCTCTTGTTCTGGAGACCTTGACTGGAAAGTACACTTCACTATCAGCAGGGCTCTTTGTAGTATTTGGCTCTGGTATCTAGAGCATTCTGGAGTGAACCCAGCATGCTATGATCTGCAGGGCCAAGGCCAACGTGGTAGGACTTGGAATAGAAGCTGATAGAGTAGGCACTGACATTAGGGACAGGGAGGCCCTTTTAACAACCTCTGACAACAGCACTCTGTCCTTGAACTAGAGAGTAAGGCTCACTTGAATCTTCCCTCTGGGCGGTTTCTCTTTTCTTCAGGCATGGAGGCCATTTTTTACTGGATCCAGGCCAAGCGAGGAAAGGAAGTGTGGGCTCTGGCCTATGGGAAGCAGGAAGACCATGGAGCCTGGAGTCTGGAAGACCTGACTGAGACCCCGGCCCAGGCACTTGGCTGCTTGGGCAAGCTTTCCAAGTCCCAGTGTTCTCACATATAAAATGAGGCTAGGAATAAAAAATGAACAAGCTTGTAATAAAAACTGCATGAGTAGAGAGCCTACCATCCAGGGGGTGTTTAGTGCCTGGGGATTTTCTTCCCTGGTGAACACAGGTTGGACTTTCTGGAATGGGAGTCTTGAAGTTTTGGAGCATAGGGTGATCTGCTTGGGATACCAGGTCAGGGGGCCAGAGCTGATGTTGAGATCACAGGAGGAAAGAAAGGGCAGCATTTCAGCTCTGAAGAAACCCACTTGGGCACTTCCTTGGCGTGGGAAAGCATTGGTGTGCACTAGAAGTGTCATACCTGCCTATCACATCTGTAAGAGAGCTAATACTGATCTCCCTTCGGTATTGCCCAAAGCTTCCCCCCGCCCCTGTCTAATATTTGATGAGTCATTCGAGAGAGAAGTAGTCCTAGAAGAAAGGCTTTAAGGAGAAAGGTAGACGGTCAGATCTGACCCTCTTTTACATAGTCCTGAGATCAGCAAGCTATTTCCCTCCTTGGCAGTCTTGCAGGGGTAGAGGATTTATCTGATCAGAAGGAGATTTTTGGTATTCTCTGCAGAAGTGAGATGCCTTAACCCAGAGGTCTTTTTGCCCCTGTGGAATATAAATCGGATTAGGAGCTCTTTGTGCTCTGTCACAAATCACTACACGTCTACATTTTGCTCTTATAAAATATGGATAATGACATGACTCTGTCTCCTAGGAGTTTGAGTGCATTAGCTAATGATCATGAAACCGTAGAAATAGGAAATTCATATGAATGCCGAGAGCTTTTGTAATTACACATTTGCATCACTTGGCTTGGCATCGTTGAAAGTCGTGCTTTCAACACGAGAATACTTGGGTTGATTCCTGTTCTTCTAATTGTAGAGCAAGTACAGAAGAAAGAAGCTCAAAGAGCACTCAGAGCAGATAAGTTGTCACAGCATCTCATGGAAACCCTGAAGTAGTTCAGGCTGGAGTGGTTTAGTTTGGGCTAAAGTGGAAGAAGAGCTTGAGATATTTTAAGGGCACTGAAGTTAGAGAATACCGGAAGCCAAGGATGGTAATGGCCTCCACGCGTTGTTGTGCTCAGACGCTCATGTCTCTTGTCCCTGTGACCTCAGACCCGTTACTATGTCAGCCTTTGTTCCGGGCGGCAGTGAACCTGCCATATGGCAGTGGGCTTTTTCGATGTGGGTCACCCCCCTGGATTGTAGCTTCTGGAGTACAGATCCTGTTTTTGTAGCCTGTAGAGCAGTACACTTTTTCCTTTTTTATCCCACAAAGAATTATTTTCAGATTTAGAAACGCTTTACAAAGATGTCAAAAGGTAATGTTCTGAATACCTTGAGGAGAAGACTTTTAAAAAAATAGGTATTTTATTTATGGAGGGGGTTACGAATATTAACCAGACAGCATTCGCCATATAGCTGATGTTGTTTTATTTTGTTTCAGGCAGCGGAGCTACTGCTGTGGTCCAGGCTGCCCTTTGCAAGCCCAGGCAAGAACGTGTAGCAATAAAGCGGATCAACTTGGAAAAATGCCAGACCAGTATGGATGAACTATTAGTAAGTAAAAGCGAAGGATCCCTGCCGGTTACTCCTCTTCACATCTGGGTACGTGGAGATGGGCCGGAGAGACAGGTGAAAGGCAAGCAAAGGCAGCTTGGTGTTCGCTCCTGTTTGGACACACGTGTTTCTTGGAAAGCAGCCCACACCGCTTTTCCTCTCCTGCTTAATTATATCGTACCTGCCGATTATGTTGTATAGTGTACGAACTACTTTGCTTTGACAAGCAGGATTTTGTTCAGTCCTCATAATTCCAGGGTGGGGATGGTCTCAGTGCTGACACTCTGTTTTGGAAAAGCAGGGAGCAGACGCAGTTCGCTGACCTAAGGCCATGTGATACTGTAAGAGCCGAGCCGGGTGGAGAGCTTCTGGCCCTCTGTCTAGAATCCTGATGCAAACAGGAATTACTCTCCAAATGGTTTGTCGGTCTTTTTGCCTTCGAGAAATTACAAAATGACCGACACATTTCAGTCATTCAGAATACTGCAGGGTGGCTTGCGTTTGGCTAACAAGAGCAGTCTGTCTCTTGTACGTGGCAACTTGTATTTCTTAACTCTAAATGAAGTACGTACATTACATAAATGATTGGAGCTTTTCCGTGTGGGTATGACTCTAGTAGCGTTGGTTGGTTGCAGGAACATTTGCTCTTGGCGTAACTGACTCATTATTAAATGAACAGCTTGGCAAATGGTTATTAGTTGCCCGGCAAACTGTGAAGGGTTTGAGAGTTTAATCTCATAAATATAGTTGTCCTTCTGCCTGCCAATTTTCTTTCTTTTTTTTTTTCCTTTTGGCCATTTATTTGAGGATAATAGGAAACTGCAGTGGAGGAGTTAACTGATTGGTTATCCCAACCCTAATCCCAGGACAAATATTAGTCCAATAGCTCCACACAAGCTACAAAGTATAATGACATTTGGCTCCAAATGAAGAAGCCTTTTGTTGTATTCTACATTGGGAATGGAATGTCATTAACAAGAGCTTTTTGTCTTTACTCAGAATATAGCTTTTATTTCAGGCTTAATTACAGCACACTATAGTATAAATTAAGTACAAGGATAAAGCTGTACTTTTCCAGATCTGTTTGGCCTCACATTTTAAATTAGGCTACACGAGGCATGTATTTCACTGGGATTGAAGCGAAAGATTGCCAGCTAACTCAGATTAAAGGAAGGACTTCCACAATTTAATGCTAATTTCAAAAAAAAAAAGAAAATGTCCAAATCCACCAAATTTGCATATATTTACTTTTTACCTTCTTTAAGACTTCAGCTGTTCTTTGCTCTTACTGAAATTATTGCTGCATCCTTCTGTTGCTTGTGATTACAGAGACCAATAAAATTGTGCCTTTGTCACCCGACCAGTTTTGAAGGTCACTTTTCCCCCAGTGGAAAAAGCACTAAACAAACTGTGGGGGAGAGTCAGGTCCTGCATCTGCCTCCAACTTATTTTCTACCTTTGATCAGGTCATCTAAACTGCACTGTACTATTTAGAAAGAGAGTTGAGTTGGAAAATCTCTGAGATCCCTTTAGGAGTCCTCAGATTCTGAGGCTATACTGAGGAGAGTACATTGGAGAGTACATTTCAGTATGCCCTGTCTGGAGATACCACTCACGAATTTGCCCATGATGATGTATTTGATTGTGGTGCTCTGTCCGAGGTTCCATGGCATCCTGCTGGCACCAGCACAATATTTACACAGGGTCTGTAGGAACCTGTAAGCACTTGAGACAGTTCCGGAACCAGCCTTCTGGGCAGACGCAGTGGTCCCTGATCTCTACCAAGGCCCAGTTTGCTCTGAGCCTCCACATTCTCTCTCTCTGTCGGCTTCTTGTCAGCAGTCTGCTGCCGGCAATGGGAGTTACAGGAGGGTCCTAGTGGAGGCAGTAAGGTGGAGGGGGGTGGAATGGAGGGGAGGATGGTCAGTCCCCGCCCTTTCCTGTTTCCCTGGGACCAGGACCAGTAACAGTGGCATTTGGAGATAGTACTTGTAATTTAGGCAGAGCTGCACATATAAGCTCTTCTGGCTTGGCTCAGGTTTTAGGAGTTATGAGTTTGCTTATTAGCAGTTAGTTTATTTATCTCATTCTTTTTTTTCCCCCTCTTAGTGCCCACGTTGTGTTAAGAAAGTATAGTATATGTGTATAATTACCCATTTTTCATTTAAAAGGTGTATTGATTTCTTGTGTTGATCTTTCCTTACCCTTGAACCTTGACCTTTTGATGTCTTGATATTTCTAGAGATGGAAGGGGGGATGGCTATGATTCTTTAGGATGTTTGTCCTTTGCAAACAAAAAGAAATGGAATTTACACTATGGGCTGCCTAATGTTGCCAGGCTTTTGTGGCCCAGCTATTGGCACATGAGATTGTGTGGTGTGAAGTTGTAATCCTTTCGTTTTCTAATACTGCTGTTGCTTGTACTTTTATTATCTCTGTGGGTTCACATTTTGGCAGTGTTTGGACATCCGGTATTCTAATAATCCTTTAATTCCGTGTGTGTGTGTGTGTGTGTGTGTGTGTGTGTATGTGCCCATTATGTACAGGTCAGTGCTCTGCATCATTTCACAAACTGTGCCGTGTGTTAACTGGAAGCTATTGTTCTTGTAAGAAACAATGGCCACTGGAATCCTTATCTTGTGAGTGTTATGTCATAGAAGTCACAGTTATCAACTATTTGCTGGCAGTCCGAACATCTGCCTCCCCTGCTGAAACTCTGTCGCCTCCCACTTCCTACCTCGGCTCTGTCCCTGCTCCTTTGCACCAACTCCCATAGGAAAGGGGGGTTTACACTCACAGGGCAGATGGACAGCCTGTCAGATTCTGTGGTCATGTGGAGTTTATGTCAGGTTTGGCTGACAAAGGGTTCAAATGGTCATGACTCTTTCTTTCTTCTTCCTTCCTTCCTTCCTTCCTTCCTTCCTTCCTTCCTTCCTTCCTTCAGTATTTTCTTTTTCTTGTTTTTAAAGTTAATTTATTTTGAGAGAGATAGTGCACAAAGAGGCAGAGAGGGGGAGAGAGAGAGAGAAAGAGAGAAAATCCCAAGCAGGCTCCATGCTACCAGCACAGAGCCTGATGTGGGGCTCGAACTCATGTACCGTGAGATCATGACCTGAGCTGAAATCAAGAGTTGGGCGCTTAAGTGCCTGAGCCACCCAGACATCCCAGGTGGTCATGATATCTGAAGCCAGCTTCTCTGAGAATGAAGGGAAGAAAAAAAAATACATTAGATGAAATCATTGGTGCTAAGTAATTGATAATTGAAACAAAATATATATTGTTGAAATGAGTACTATAATATTCCTCAACAATAATTTGATTCCAGATCTCATATATATACATTTAGTAATTTGGTAAATATTTAACAAGTTTTTACATTGTGCTTAGGCCCATTAGAAAGATGGGTTTTGGGTGTACATATCAGAGAACAAAGGCAATTAGGCAATTAGGTTAGAAAACCCTAACCTAATGTTTTTTCTTGGTATTACACAAATAGCATTTAGTTGATCTAATTCTTTTTCTATGCATTCTTTTAAGTTTTCATATATGTTTTAGAGTTTGACCTGTAACTGTACCCTAATCTCTTTAGGTGTGATGATTTGGTGGTTAATTTTCCAGGAAGCAGGGAATGTTACTGATGTATTCTGTATTTCTGACCATCCCAACCTAGAGGCTTTGGTAATTTCTGAGATTTGCTAATCCCACATTTTTTAATCCTACAGTGTTGTAAATGACTATATAATAGGCTTAACACACTCTGGGAGGTATTTATAGTTTTAGAGCAGACCTTGTTGACTGTGTGATTATTAAACCCTACTAGATGCTAGACACTGAGCCAAGCAATGGGAAAACAAAGATGATTCCTATTTTGGGGGGAGCCTGGGGACTGGTAAATGAGTTTGTTCATTTTTATATTGGGTTGGTGAGCTTTTTGAGCTAGGGATGTCTTTCAACACTTTTTCCATCTAGACATGGTTTAACAGAGTATAGACAGATTCTCTAGTGTACAGTCCTTGCTTTTAAGTAGGAATTTAAGGCTTCCTAAATGGGTCCGACCCACTGTCATGCTGACTGGTATATTCTATGTACAGATGGCCTTGAGGTTTCTTGAAAGAGCTTAGTTCTCTGGTTTGTGGTCAGCCTCAAAGGTTAGGGATGCTACTCAAGGACCCGCTTACTTCCCTTAAAATCCATTTCACGAGTGAAGAATTAACCTGCTTTTTCTGAACTCATCTTTTGGTCTCTGTCACGAGATGATAGTTTCATAAATGTGACATAGTCGTCCTTCCTTTTATTCATCTTAAAACCCACTTTTTCCAATCTCTAGGGAACTCTTCTTTATTTTTACCCAGGAACTGGTGAACATTTTGATGCATCACCTTACTTGACTTCATGATTTTTAGACTTTAGCCATATCCTTCTCAATGTTTTTTCTCTAGACTAGAGCTCTCATATTTTTAGTCTTATCTTTGGAACCTAGTCACAGAAAACTCAGTAGCACTTTTTCATTCCTTCATATACATCAATGCCATCAAAACATACATTTTAATTCTTATGGGCAGGAATGCTATGTGTGTAAGAGAAACCATGGCCCTGGGACCAGGCAAAGTGCTTGCTTCTTCAAGGAAAAAAAAGATCCAATTAAGTGATTCCATTATGAACTAATATGTAATGATCATTGAAATATTTTAGCATATGATGGGTGACAAATATGAGCAAAATTGTTTCAAAAATCAATGGCTACCCGATTGCCAAAACTTGTGATGGAGGGAGAATTGCTTCCTCGGTCAGAGGGCTCGTATTCTTCACTTGGATCATGGACTTGAGATGAATCAGTTGTGCCTCTGGCCCTTAGTCTCCTCATTTGTTCAGTGAGGAATTCTACTTGATGGCAAAACTTATTTTTATCAATGAAGTCTATGGTTCTGTGTTTTTAAACATCAGTTCTTTTAATGAAGTTACTTTTAAAAATCACTGATTTTTACTGATTACTAGCAAAC